CGCAGGAGTTGTAGGAGGGTAACCGAATACGCGCTGTAACGCCCCCAACACACCACCTCGTAACTGAATACACCCTGTGCTACCTGAATACACTCATTGGTAACCGAATACGCAGGAGGGTAACAAAATACGCTTCTACATGGTTTTCTTCACACGACCTGTAACTGCATATGCCATCTTTGAACCGAATACGCTATCAGCGTTCTTCGTCTTCTCCAGCTTCGCACACTTCTCTTCTTCATCAACCCCTTTCTTCTTCATCTCCTCCACCCATCGACCTTATCTTCTTCATCTACCTCCATGGCCTCCAACGTAAAAACATAACACACACGGTCTAAACAACTACAATCATACCTCACCTTAGCTTTGTTTCTTCCTCCGCACTCAACACACTTGCAACTCCTTCACTTTCACAACACAATGCTCTTCTGGGTGGCTCAATTAACACAACAACAACCACACATGCACCACATATTAATCGTTGTTCCTAATGGTCAAAAGCTAGTGCAAATAATACTGTGTATAGTGTGCCTAATGCATGTGGAAATCTTCACTGTTGAACGCTTGTTGATGTCTAATTGCTAAATTAATCCATTTTGGCGTCACTTCTGGGCTATTTTCGCAGCTTATTGACGTTTGAGAAAGGGGGTCCGACATCTAATGTGTATTACACACGATACCTACTATGTTTGATATCTAATGTTTAAAAAAGTGACATTTCTATTCTGATTTTGCAACTTCTCGCAAAGAATTTAACTTTTGGTCCGGGGGTTGACGTCTATATGTACTAAGACGTCCGGAGAGTTAGTAACCAACGTCTATGAGGCTATTTTACTTAAAAGATTGTCACCGTCATTTTTTACATTGGTTATTCTGTTATGAAACATTGTACGCGTGACGTTTTATACAGTTTTTATAGTAGTTTATATTTAAAAAGAATTCAGTTTTATCTTTTAGTTAATATATGAGTATCTCACCGTATAAATAATTTTTAAATAAAATACAATCTTATATTTCTCTGATTAATATATATATATATATATATATATATATATATATATATATATATGTAAAATAATTTCTCTTATTAATAAAAATTTATGAGTTAGATTCTAAATTTATTTTTAATCTTAGTTATCAAGATAAATTAATATTAGATATCGACTTAGACTTAATTTATAAATTAATTATAACTTTTTATTATTAATAAAGATTATTTAGGTATTAATAATTTTTAATCTATAAAATAGTGTTTAACTTAAGCAATAATAATTATTTTTTTTTAATAATTAGTTGTTATTTAATTTTTTTTCATTGTTATTACTTTAAATTGAGTANATTGCTTAACCATAATCGATTATACTAGTAAAAATTACAATGTTTAACATTTTCCTACTACATTCAAAATCTACAAGTTGTTTTTTTAAATATTTTCCTACTACATCCAAAATCTATAAGTTGCAGCATCATCAAAACACATCTTCAGGTTTTACCAATACTCCTTATTGGTAACACCCTCCAACGAAGTCCCTCAACCAAGTTCCTTCAAGTTCTGAGCACACCGTCCTGAGGTTGCCACAACACCGTCGTCATGCTGCGACCACCACTTTCGAACAGCCCCCTCAGAATAATGTAATCCCTCAACAACCACCCTCCTCACCGGCACTATCCTAACGTCGACACAACAATTGCAGCAAAAAAGGGGTTAATTTTGATTTCAGAACGACAGAGGAAGATGCTTGGGGGTTTTGAGGTGAGAGACGAAAAATTGGGGGAAAGCTTCTCTGGAAACTAAAATTTGGAGAATGGAAGAGGGAAATCCCAAATTTTCATTTCACTAGGTCGATGCTTATACTGATGGCCTATGGGGCCTTCAGTAAACTCAAAATGCCTTCGGTAATCAACCACTTACATGACCGTCGGTACATCCTTCGGTAAATCAACTTTACCTAAGGCCCCAAAGGCCGTCGGTATTATTCCTTCAGAAATTAACGCTTTTCCTGTAGTGGATTAATATTTCAGATTTATTCAAAGATTTGTTTACTTGTTTCTAATTTATCTTTACCACTTCACAAACAAGCAAATGTTGAACCCATGGTAATATTATGTACCTTTGTTAACACTTACATGGAGATGCTTTTTTGTATACTCTAACTGGTTTGCCTTTGTTATTCCGTCATGATATGTTGTAAGTTATTTGTTTTCTTTTTTTATGACTTTTAGTGACGATTCAAGAACAATCACCATCATTTAAAGTTTAACAATGATTAGTTTGATTGTTGTCATTTTTGTCAAACTTTTAAGAAAGGAGACATCTATGACGGTTTGAAAATAGTTGTTCAAGAGTTGTTTTAGTCGTCGTAAAAAGCCCATACTATAATATGCCCCCCTCCTCTTCTTTCCCTTCTTCCTCCTCCTTCCCTTCTTCCTCCTCCTCCTCCATTACCGTCGCCAACGTCTTTGCCACGGTTGGCATCACCTTTGTTGTTGCTAAAGTCGACTCTATGATTGCCACCATTGCTATTGACTCCTTTTTATTGATAAGAACATCTGTCAATAAAAAAACTCTAATTACTAACAAATTTACGAACAAATTTATTACTATCATAGTTATCAATTGATAATTAAAATTTTAAAATTCATTGATAAAATTTATTGGTAAATTCGGATTTACAGATAAATTTTTACATTAATAGATATAAATTTTTACAGATAAATTAATTCATTCTTTATTAATGAGAGACTAATTTAAAATCAATAATAGTAAGAAGTTAAAACTTTGATAGCTAGAAATCAATTTAAATCTTAATTCACAAATAAATTATATTTTTTTAATATTAGAAACTGTTTTATAAAGTACTATTTTTAATTTATAAAATATATAATTTAATTAATAAATAAAATGAGTAATTATTTTTTTATTTCTAGATTACTTGCTATTCAAAATATTTCATATAGTGAAATATTTATTCATAAAACAATTGAAAACAATTTTTCGTTTTTAACCTTATTTAAAATTTAACACTGTACTTTACGTTAGAAATAAATAAACATAATTTTTATAATTTTTTTTCATTGTTATTACTTTAAATTGAGTAACCGGTTTTTAAAATTTATAACCAAGTAACTTAAGAAATATAAACATAATTTTATATTGCAGTAGCTTTCAACCCAAATGAAAGATTAACCATTTATGGGTTAATTTAATCAATTTAGATGAAGCTTTTCTTCCTTCAACATTTAATCGGTTAGTATTGTTTTTCATTTAGTGGGATTATGTATTGCTTATCATCACAATAATTTGTATATAAATTGTACCAATAACAATAATATCAAGAGTTTTAATAATTATTTCTTTTTAAATTCCAACAAAATGGTTATATTGAATGTCGTGTCACTTCTCACGAATTTGACTGGATATAGTTATTTTAACCTATTTTTTACATGTTCTTTAGTCAACTAGTTTTGAGAGTTGACCAAAGTCTAATATTTGAACTAAGTTTATTTGCAAACACTTTGAATAAAAAAAACTTTAAAAATTAGTTTATTTACAATTTAAATTAAATATTTAGAAAATTTATATGAGATAGTTTCTAAAAAAAAAATAACTTACACATTAAGCAACTTAATTTATAAACCAAATTTATTTTATTTTTTATTCTTGCTTTTCTTTTATAGAAAAAGAATCATGCGAAAAAAATTTATCATAACATATTCGTAATTTAATTTTGACCATGATGGTTTGAAGTGTTCATCATGTTATAATAAGAAAAACAAATTTAGAAAATCTAAATACGTATTTTCAAAAGAGAGTAGAATTATAAGTTTTTAACCAAATACAAAGTTAAAGGGTTGTTTTAGCCGTAGTAAAAAGTCCATTATGCGATATGTCTCCTCCTTCTCTTTCTTCCCTTCGTCCTCCTTCATTGCTATTAGCATCGCCTTCATTGCTACTGGCATCGACCACGACTGCCACAGGTGTCATTGACTCTTCTTTAACAATAAAAATATCCATCAGTACAAAAAAAATTGTAATTCACCAACCGATTTTACCAACCAATTTATTATCGTTGACAAATTCTATTTTATAAATGAATTTTTTAAATTAATAAATGCGAGTATTTAAAACTTTGGTAGAGATCAATTTAAATTCTAATTCACAAATAAATTATATTTTTTTATTAATATTAGACACTGTTTTAAGTACTATTTTTAATTTATAACATAGTTTCTAATTTGATAAATATATTGACTAATTATTTTTTAATTTCTATATTAGTTGTTATTTAAAATTTTTCTTATAATAGAGGAATATATATTCATAAAACAATTAAAAATAATTTTACGTTTTTAACCTTATTTAAAATTTAACATTTTACTTTACATTAAAACTGACTAAATCAATTTTAATAACATTACTTTATGATGAATATTAATATTTGAAAGTTAATCCGATATATTTGAAAGAGAAAGATGATAATAAGATAAATTTCACACTGAAATTATATTGTCATGTATGTCTAATTCGCTAAAGAAGAATATCTTAAATCAGTACAGACTATATCTTAAGAAATAATTTTGTGTGATGTAATATGGATATAAAATTTAAAAATTGAAAGAAAAAGAGAGTATGTTGGAACCTACCATACTTTATTTATAGTTAAATCTAAGCAAATTTACATAAAATAAAAATTAACTGACTAAGTACTGATTTTGGTACTTAAAACTAACAACAAAATTAAAAAATAACCCTATTTCAGACACCTTGGGAACACGCTTACATGAAAATGGTCGAAACTAAACACAACTGTGTTTACATTGAAAACTATCAAGCCAAATAGCCAATCTTTAGTTTTACTTTCCCACTCCGAATAAATAATAGGGAACCGTTAGTATCACACATAGATGCCCCGAATGGATCTACGTTAATTGCCTTTGACACAAACCCGCAGTCCCATCGTAAAAGAGTGATGTCTTACATCATACGTCCGTGTGCATATTTAAAATAATGCTAACAGTGCCACTATGAATGCATAGTCCACGTTGCGATAGACAATGACATTGAAGCCACCATTATTCTGCATCTGCATTATAGTGACAGAAACACTGTATAATTAACCTCGTACAACACTGTTTCTATGTTGTTTGAAGACGTAACAGAGTACATACCGAGGCAACAACTGTGGGAGATTCACCTGCATATACATGGCATGATCTTTTGCCACTCACAACATCTACCCTAAAGTCACACTCACTTTCTTTTTTGTTGTATGCAAGGAAGACCTCTAATCTCATCACTCCACTCTGGAGAAGTTCTGCCTTTTTCACTGAAAACAGCAATCTGGAGGAATCATTGCTTTCACCCATGAAAACTTGGCATCGCCGGTGCATTGTCATGATCTACATAAGAACATTCGTTCATAATTCAGTAACTGAGATGGATTTGCTGGCGTATGGAATTTGTTAGAATATCATGCGTGAATAGGCTTTAAGAGGGAATTGATACATGAATACAGTATGACCTATATATTATCCCATCAATCCTTAGAGTAAATGGAAAAACTATAAAATCATGCCTAAAATTAAGGTTACGGATAATAAGAAAACAGCAACTTCCATGAAATACAAATGACACTTGACATGTGTTAGAGGTTTATCAATCACATTACACCCCCACAATCCTTGTTGTTATTGTTGTGATGTGCTTACTAGGTCATGCATGTGCTAGATATTCATGAATGTTTTACAAATCATACCAAGATCTCATGTAAGCATGATTGGCCCTTAAGGTATGCTGCAAATCATACACTACCCGTAAGGGATATGAAAATTATTAAAACCTTTGTTTAAACTAAAATTTTTTCACTACGTAGAATTTTAATAACAAAGTTTAACATCTCAATAATACAATCTCTAGCACTTTCACAAACACACACACCATAGAAATAGACATATTTGATTTAAAATCAACATAGTGTTATCGAAACTAACAAGTGACTTATTTTTATCCATATGAACCTTATTCATTGGATCTTTAATCACAAATATTTTTTTACCATCACTTGTTTGTTTGGAAGTGGCTTAAGTCCCCTTCCATCGATATTTCTAAGATCATATTTTTTTCTCAAGAGTTTAGTTAGAGGATCTGTTAGATTCCCTTCTGACTTCACATAATCAATGAAAATAGTTTCACTATTTAGCAGCTGCTAAACCAAATTGTGTCTCAATTGTATATGTCTGTTTTTTTCATTGTAATTCCTTTTTAGCTATAACTATTACTGATTGACAATCACAGTGTATTGACACTGATGACGTTGGTTTTATTCCTAGTGGAATGTTTGTTAAGAAGATTTCAACCACTCAACCTCTCTATCAGTCATCTCAAGAGAAACAAAATCAAATTACATTGTTGATCTTGCAATATTAGTTTGTCTGACTGGTCTCCATGTAATCGCACCATCCCCTAGTGTGAATACATAATCACTAGTGAATTTTTTCTCATTTGAATCAGAGATCCAATTAACATCATTGTAGCCTTCTATAGTACAATAGGAAATCCACTATATTCAAGGGCATAATCCATTGAATCTCTTAAGTATCTCACAAGCCTTGCAACTACATCCTAGTGTTCCTGATTTGCTATATTAGATACGAAAAACTCATTAAATGTAGTAAGCTCCCAATTATTTGGGCATAGTGAGGCTGAGATATAGATTCTCCTCTATTTTTTATTAATTTAGAGTTAGCATCATAAGGGGTACTCATAGGTTTAAAGTCATAATACCCTAACTTCTTAAGAAGTTTCTTAATGTATTGTTCTTAGGATAGTAATATACTATCTCCCTTCCTTATGATTCTAACACCTAAATACTTTACCTTCACCCATGTCTTTCATTTCAATGTTCAATCCTATAAACGACAATCTCATTGCATGCACCAAAAATTAACATGTCATCCATATACAAGCATATAATGACACAATCACCATTTTAAGATTTAGAGTACAGACATTTATCAATATCATTAGGTGAAAATTCATCACATAACAATACATTATCAAGTTTTCATGCCATTTTTTTGGTGTTTGTTTCAACCCACACAAAGATTTTAAAAATTTTCATACTTTATTCTCTTGACCAGGTACAATACATCATTCAAGTTGAGTCATATATCTAAATCACCATTCGAAAAGGTAGTTTTAATGTCCATTTGATGTATCACTAGCTTATGGATACCTGTTGAGTTTAACAACACTCGAATGAAGCAAATCCTAGTCATAGGGATAGGGATAAAGGTGTCAAAATAATCTATGTTGGGTTTTTGTTACTAATCTTGCCTTATACTTCTTTATAGATTCATTAGGGTGATATTTTTCTTAAAGATCCACTTGCAACCAATGCGTTTTGCTCTTTTAGGCAAATATACTAAGGTCCAAGTATTATTTTTCTAAATTGATTCAATTTCAGTTCTAATGGCCTTATCCCACTATTTTGCATCAGAAGCACTAATAGCTTCTACAAAGCTACTTGGATCATTATCAAAAAAATAAGTATAGAAATCATTATCAAAGGAAGTTTCCTTCCTCTGTCTTTTTCAAGGTATCACTATTATTATTATCAACAGGTTGAGACGTTTCACTAACTTTTAAAGGAAACACATGTTAGAAACAATCATTGTTCTTCATCTCCACTATAGGACTACTATCAAGTATATCACTTTTAAGAACCAAAAACATATAGGCACCACTATATTTAGCATAGCCTAAGAGCTTATTTTCCTTTTCTTAGGATAAAGTAACATCACCTTAGCTAGGCAACACCACACTCTTAGATATTTAAGGTTAGGTTGATTAACTCTCCACAACTCATAAGGTGTTTTACCAGTTTTCTAATGCGGTATTCTATTTTATAAAATGCATGCAGTAAGCATGATTTTGCTCCAAAGGTTATCAGGTGCACTAGAACTAATAAGCATGACATTCATCCTTTTCTTAAGAGTTCTATTCTTTGTCTCTATTAGACTCAGGTGAATATGAATAAATAATTCTTTCTCTAACACAAAATTAATTAAACAATACATAAGCTTTATCTAATATAATCCTCTTAATTCTCTTATTTAGTTGATTTTCTACTTCTGTTTTATAAGTTAAAAACACATCAAAAGCTTCACCTTTATGTTTGATTAAGTACACTTTGGTGTATCTAGAACGATCCTCTATAAAGGTTACAAAATAATTTTTTCCTTAAGACATGGTTTGCTTTAAATGAGCTAGATCTGTATAAATTAGCCCTAACAATTCAATTTGAAGATCTAAAAAATAACATGTTTTCTTTATTATTTTAGATTCCACACATATGTCACATTTACCGCTCTGTTTATCATGCATATTAATTAATCCCTATCAATATAATTTCATAATATATGAGGAATTCACATGTCCTAATCTAGCGTGCAACATATCATATGAATCAACAATATAAGCAGAAAAATAAGATTCATTAATATTTTGAGAAATGTTACAAAGAGACCTTGATCACAATATCGTTGCCCAAACAAAACATTATTTTGTCATTACAATGTTAGACTCAAATGACACTTTAACCTCCATTTTTCCACATAGTACTATAAAGGTTAAATTAACTTTGATTAGTGGCATGTGTAGCAGATCGCTCAAGGTTAGAGCCTTTCTATATGTGAGTTTGAAAAAAATTTGCTTTTCCAAGAACAAAGTTGTCTTGGAATCACCGAGGTAACAGTTTCTTCTCTATCCTTTACACTAATGTAAGAGGTAAAGACACTTCTGTTTGCACAGATATGCAGTAACGTAAGAGTCTACTACTTATTTGCTCACATTGGTAATCAAATTTACTTGTGAAATGACACCAACAATAATATCATCTCTTTATTTTCCCTTTCAGGGTTGTCATTTCTTACTCTGTGCCTACACTGTGATGCATGATAACTCGACTTTTCACACAGGAAGCAATTTCTTTTCTTCTTAAAAGAAGGGTTAGATTTGTTGGGGCGAGATTTTTGAAAATTATTTTTTCTATTGTTATCAAGTTTGTGTTTGTACCTTTTTAGAGCATGTTTGCCCTCTATCATAATTGTTTTTACAAACAAAGCTTTGACCCTTACAATAACACATTTTTTTCTGTTGATATCTTCAGTAATTATGTGTGTGATGACCTTTGGATACCTTTTTGGAGCATGTTTGTCCTCTATCATAATTGTTTTTACAGACAAAGCTTTGACCCTTACAATAACACATTTTTCTCTGTTGACATCTTCACTAATTATGTGTGTGATGAGCTTTGGAAATAACATCTATTTGTGTTTGTGTTTTAGTTTTTGTTTGTAATCAGTGTAGACGGTGGCTCTCGATCAGAAGTTTTGAAATAAATTCATTCGTACAAGACTGTTCTCCGCTTTGATATCTTCAACCAGCTTGTGATTCTCGTTAATTTGAGACTTTATATCCTTATCTTCAATAATTTCCCAACGATAATAGTTCTCAATGATGAACCTTTGTCTAATGACAGCTTCAATAGTCTATTTGAGAATAAACGAATCCTAAATGTCTTTTGCTTCCTTACAGGAACAATACACATCAAATATGTTTCACGAAGACCGTATAAGTTCTTGAAACAATGTTTTGATCCTTCAAAACTGGATTGTGGATGTGAGTTCACTAGTACAAAATGTGTTTTTAAACTCGCACATTAGACCTCTGTTTACACTAAATCGCTGCCTATTCAGACGCGGTGGCAGTGTCGTAATTAAAGAAACCTTATAGGCCTCGGTTCAAAAAAGACCGGTGCAGAACAGCTCTATTACCTCGGTTTCAAAGGCAACCGGTGCCTAAACATGGTCAGAAAAAATAATACTGCTTCGGTTGCATGCAGAACCGAAGCATAAAAATCTGCAACTCGTCAAATCAGTCAAATCAATATCAATAGGCACCGGTTAAATTAAAGAATCGAGGCCGTATGCCCACAATAGGCACCGGTTAAATTAAAGAACCGAGGCCGTATAGGCCCAGATCCTCTGCGCGTACCAAGTGGCCTAGACCTAATTAATTAAGGGTGAAACTTCTTTCCTAACGCGCACCGCCAGATCTCTTTCTTTCCCTCGCACCGCACCAGATCCCTTTACCAAGTGGCCTCAGATCCTCCTCTTTCTCTTCAATGCGCCCCAGCAGCCACGCCACGCTTCTTCCCTTTCTCTTCTTCCCTTTCTCTTCTTCCCTTGAACGTGGACGAGCAGAGTGTTGTGATGGAGGTGAGTGGCCAGCGAAGACGTGGAGAGACGCGGGGAGGCGCGACTGATAGCGGCGAAGCGAGGCGCGGCGAGGCGCGACGATGCGAGGCGCGGCGATTCCAGGAGCGGCGAGGAAGGCGGTGGCGAGAGAGAGTCGGTAAGCGGAACAGTTGTACGACGGTCCTCCGGGGGCAGCGGCGGTGTCGGTTCGACGATGGGGAGAGCGGTGGCGAGCATGCAGGGGATGGGAGATTTTGGATTCGGAAATTTCATTTTCAGATTTGGGATTTTGTTCTTGTGTTTGCAATTTAGGGTTTCTGAAATTTCATTTTCAGATTTGGGATTTTGTTGTTGTGTTTGCAATTTAGGGTTTCTGAAATTTCATTTTCAGATTTGGGATTTTGTTGTTGTTTTTGCAATTTAGGGTTTCAGTTATTCATCTTTTTGGGGTTCCATTGTATTATCTGAGTTTGTTGAGTTTCTGAAACATTGTATTATCTGAGTTTGTTGAGTTTCTGAAACAGTGTGGTGCTTATCTTTCTCTGATTATTCATTTTCTTATCTGAGTTCTTGGTCATTTTTAACGTTTTTCAGTTCATTTTTCGGTTCGGG